TCACAGACAATATTTTGTTTGTGCAAAATTTACATAGACAAAATAAAACATATTTTGTATGTGAGATTTACAGACAAAAAATTTCACAAACATGGTGGGTATAAAGTGAGTATAAGGGTAGGTACATTAAGCATTGTTGTATTTTTTTTATATACAATAAATAACACTTGTAATTCAGAGTACATTAGGTCGTCTCTCATCGAACGTTACAAAATTAGACCGGGTACGACACTCGAGACCGGTGGGCGTAGCTCAACTGGTAGTGAGGGAGTGCCACAAGAGTTAGGTCTCGGGTTCGAATCTCAGCAACTGCGATGAGGGGTTACTATGCTGAAAAATGCATACGGCCTCTGCAAGTACCGGGGACAGAGCTCCACTCTTTATCTGTCAGATTGTGATTATAGTCCAATTAACATCCTCCCATCGTGCCGTCCGATCGGTGTTGGGGGCCCTCAGGGATGGGGTGTCATCCTTTTTTTAAGGGTACGACACTCGAGTAAAGAACAAACATATTAATCTTTTTGTTCTTTCAAAAATTGGGTAATTGACAATGTTATCGGAAAAGTTATTCTATACATGCTCTATTCATGCTGTTTCAAAAAGCAAATCGTAGTATTCATTCTTATGGAAATGAAAAAAAAAAGGTTTGTCTAATGTAAAAAAAACTTTTATTATTTCATGACATGTATTGGTGCGGTAGAGCCGCACCTAATATGCTCTTCACCAGTTATCCGCTCCGCACTTATCTATCCTGCATTTATCGTAAAAACCTCCTTTTGCCGGCAATACGGTAGTTGCTTTTAAGTTTTAACTAGGGAGAGTTCCTCAAATGGAATAAAAACGTTTGTAAATTCCAAAATAGGATTGTCATGCTTTTATTCCCAAAATAGGAGTAGTTATTGCCATGTTTGCAAAATACTGCTATGTTTAAAGTCTGGTACTGCCAAAACATGACAGTAATTAGTCATATTTTGGGAATGAAAAATATGACAGTCCTATATTGAAATTTACAAACGTTTTTAATCCTATTGAACTCAAATACAAAACAAGAAGCAAACATTGAAAATTAAAGAGAAAAGCAAATGTATGGTCTTCAATAAATATGGGCCCACACTTGTTTGTCAGTGGGTTGCACCGAGGGTCCATTTATGGACCTCGGACTTTGTTCCATTTTGTCAATTGCCACATAAGCTTCACCATGTCCATTTCTTTGTGCATTGGAGTAGCCGAGTAGGCAATTATGTTTAAGGTGTGCATTTGATATCACCCATTGGAGATGCCCTTATTATAATATCACCCAATATTACATTACACATCATTTTTTAACCAATAATCCAACTTTGGCCATGTTTGGTAAATGGCGTTTCTGCCACTTTTTGGCGGATTTGACCATGTTTGGCGGATTTGACCAGTCAAAAACGCTAAAATGAGGTGTTTGGCGTATGGCGGTTTTGAATAGCGTTTTGATCTGAAACGCCAAAAACTAAAACGCTAGAAAGTGTAGCGTTTAGGATCGGCGGATTCTGATCACGTAGCCAATTCTCACTCCTGCCCTTCCATATTCTTCTTCCGCAAAATAAACTTGTCGCAACCATCGACGCCTTGACGGACCTACCGTTTTCTTCTTCCGCAAACCTCTGCCTTTGTGAAGAAAACCAACTTCGAGTACGTAAACTAATCTGAATATTATCGTTGATGATGATAAGCACTACTGTAGACTGTAGTGGAGCCAAAAGTTGTCTGCGGAAGGCCTTATGATCTGGTTATCATCCCTAGGCAGACCTGTGTTCTTCTTTGGCAAACCTCCGCCTCTCCCAATAAAATTATGGATGTTCAATACCTTTATTAGTTTGGACCTAAACTAATTTCATTCAATGAATTTTAATTATTATACTTTTATTTAATTATTTTTAAAATTATTAGCATACTTATAAGATCATACGTATTAAATAAATAAATAAATAAATAAATGTACTAATGTCTTTTTTTGTCTTTTTATCTATTAACCGCTAAAAACAAACAGTTATTCTACCAAACATCTTTCTATAACCCGCCAAACTAATCCGCAAGTCAAACCCGCTGACTCAATCCGCTGTTTAGAACTCGCTAACATTGTCCGCTGAGCGCTAACCGCCAAACAGTGCCTTTAGCTTTCAAATTAAAACACTTCTATTTCAAACATTAACCGCTTTTACTATTAAATAAATTCTTCTATATTTCTTAAAATAAATCACTTTTAAGAAACAGCAAATACAAATACCGCCTTAAAACAATGAGCTTCAAAATATGCCATGACCATAGAAGCATGCTGTGTAAGTGACCCCCTCGTCATCTCCTTCAGATCTACTTCGATTCTCTTTAAACTGAAAAATAATACACTCACAAGTCGAAATGGCTACGCTAAGTTGTATTTTACGTACTAGTATAAACAAAAATAATAAAACCTCACTTTTGTTTTCGAGAAAACTTCCAAGGCAGGACATGATAACATAACTATATGCTTTGGGACGTTGGGTACATCTACAACGTTTTAGTACTTCATACATACTATATGACACCAATGAGCCCTTTTGGCTGAATCTTATGAATTTTTTGAACGGGAAAAGTGTTACAGAAAATGCATTTTAACTCAAGTCGAAAGACATCCTGATTATGTTGTAGATAAACGTAGTAAGTCGAATCAGGCTATCAGACACAGTTACACACACTCATACTTTTCATGTGCTATTTTGAATCAGTTACAGAGTAATTTGTGTGGTTACTAAGTGGCACAACCATATCCTGAATGATTCATTCTTCACCATAACAATCTTTCCTCTCCATAGATAGTCATGCGTCAAAGCACTTAAGTTCCATGTGCCTTGACCTAAAATGAATAAAAATGAAGTTGCTCTGATACAGAAACTAGTCTCTTTAATAAGGAATTATGACTCATCTGAAGACATTCAATTTCATTATATATTGGCAGCTACATCATTTCCAAAGGATGTCACAATGGGTATCTGTAATGATGGCTTCTGCAGTTCAGCTTTATGGAAGTATGACCCGATTAAAACGGAGCTGCAGTGTTTCACCTATGTCTGTTGTTCGCTAAGTAAAGGTGGTTTTTGTATCTACTTGGTAAGAATGTATCTACTTGGTAAGTGGTTCTTGTGCCTACGAATTTTCCTTAAATTGACCCTCGTACTCCCACTAACCACTTCGTGGGCCCATCCAGAGGATAGGCTCTAACATTCCACTGTTGAAGTAACTGATGCTCTCGACATGAATTCATCATGAACTATCATCATCATCATCATTACCCCAGTGCCGCAAAAGCTCCCACCAACGGTGGGGTAAAGGGGGTCGGATGTTCACAGTCTTACCCAAGTACTCTGGGGGACTGTTTTCGAATGACCCATAGGTTGTATGCTTATAATAATAATTGTATATTTGTATAGGTTGTCCTACATCCCGAATAGCCTTTGACTGTAAGTGATGCATACTTGCAAATACAATGATCCAAAGAGCGGGAATGTTACACACCCTTTTAAGTTCAGGAAGATCACTAGTTTAATGTTACATATTTTATAATGTGGCAAGATCTTTCTGTTAACTCAGAAGCAACTTTACCTCTACCTCATGAAGTACTTTACCTCTACCTCATGAAGTAGGAAGGATGCTTCTATTAATTAAAAAAAAGAAGGCTGCTTCTATTAATGCCCCAGCTTAGACAGAAACTGGGAAGTTATAGGCGACAATTTAAAATTAAGGACAGTATAAGTAAAAGCAGATAAGTAAGCAAGCAGAAAAGAATAGAAGCCTAAAATCATCTGTCGATTAATGTAATAATTATAAAATATTTGAAAAAGCACAGAGATGTAGAAATTCAAATTAAAAGCAATTCAAAGCTTCTTAAGGATACTGACGTGTCCTGCTTTTGAGTGCATTTGTTAGAGTTAAAGAGACAAAGACAAAAGAGCACCTGAAATGATATTTTTAAATGTGTATCATTGTCCAGCCATTTAACATTGAAAAAAATCAAGCTGAATTTCATTGTCCCCGTTAATCTACCATCCATAATGTGGGGAGAAGAAACAAATGCTAAGAAATATTACTTCCTTGCATTTGGTTTTACCTTGGGAAAGGCAAAAGAAAATTAAACATGACTACTTCTTTGTAATCCTGTATGTATTTAGGTTTCTTAGTCTTTATGTAATGGAAATAATGCAAAAGAAAATTAAACATGACTACTTCTTTGTAATCCTGTATGTATTTAGGTTTCTTAGTCTTTATGTAATGGAAATGAATAAATAAATTATGTATAAACAACAATGATCTAAAACACATTTATTATCGCTCACATTATCTTTCCTTTCAACTTTCCTCCTCGGGTTTCTTTCTATTTTTCTTTCCCTAGTATTTTAAACATGCTAATTAGCACTCTACCATGTTCTTTTTTCTTTTTATCTTTTCTACTTCTCAACTAATATTCTCTATATTCACATTATAATCTAACAAATTAAAGACAAAAACATTATTCAAGTCCCATAAAAACAAAAACGTTACAGAGAAAAGATCACAACTCATCTAATCAAAGCATCATTCTCAATCAGCATGAACCAAAAATTAGAATTACTACGAAATAAACCATAACTTCCCATTACAAATTCATAAAATATATCATTATATATGTAATATAATATACATGGCTTACTATGTTTTTAGTCCTTGCAAATATAGTGCATTTTGTTTTAGGTCTATGCATTTTTTTTAATTTTTCATTCATGTAATTTTTTTTCTTTTTATTCTGTTACCGATCATAACAATCTCCTTTTGACAATAAAACAACCCTAACTAGTTAGTTTACCCTCATTCATTGTCATGCCATTCAGAAAAACATAATTTTATTTTTTGGAGATCGTTAAAACCTATTCCAAGAACGAAAATGATTAATACTACGTATTATATTTTTTTGACTCTTATATTAGCCTAAAAAATTTATAAAAGGATGATTAAAAATTTATAGTAGAGTAATGTGACTGACATTAATTTCTTTCTAAGCTGATTGATGTTGGGGTTGGAGAAAGACTAAAAAGAATATACTGCATAATACAGGGATGAAAAACACAAAAAATGTTTTGAAGGGATTTAAAACATAATATGTCGGAGCTAAAAAAAAGTATTTGAGCCTATATATATATATTGTGAAAATTGCTACAATGTCCAGGATTCTCACCAATACAAAAGCCCTCCATTTTCACTTGCTCTTCACACTGACTCCTTCCTTTCCAGCAATGATGACCGCAGTGGCCATATCCAAGAACAAACCATGCTCCACCACGCCTTGTAAAGCAGAAATCTCCTTTCCTGCAGCCTGCGAATCCTTGATGGGAATCTTAAAATACAAATCCACAATGTAATTGGAATTGTCAGTGAGATAGGGCTTATCCCCATCCAATCTCAACAATGCTTCGCAGCCCAAATCTTTAAACATCTCTCGGAGCCGGAGCAGATTGTATTTCCAGCAAAATTGGACCACCTCAACGGGCATTGCCAGACCCGACCCGCCAAGCCCAGAGACGAGCTTGGACTCGTCAACGACCACCACGAACTTATTGGACGCAGCCTCCACCATTTTCTCGCGGAGGAGAGCGCCTCCACGACCCTTGACAAGGTCGAGATTCGGATCGACCTCGTCAGCGCCATCAATGGCGAGATCAAGCTCCGGGTGATCGTCGAGCGTTGATAGTGGGATGTTGAGCGAGGCGGCCTGTTCACGGGTGCGCTTGGAAGTGGGCACGCCGACGATGTTCGACAGGTGGCCGGAGGAGAGGAGCTCTCCTAGTTTGGCCACGACAAAGGCGGCAGTGGAGCCGGTGCCGAGGCCGAGGACCATTCCGCTCTGGACATAATCCACGGCCTTGTAGGCGGCGAGCTTCTTGAGTTCATCTTGCGTTGAGGCAGGGGATGGGGTGGGGGCGGAGAAGGCTATGAAAGTGGGGCGGCGGCGCACTTTGAGGAGTGATTGGTTGCGCAGCATATAGGAGTGGCTGAGGCGCGTGGAGGCATTCTGGTGGCGGATGCAGGGAATAGGTAAGGTAGCCATGGAGGTGGAAGCTGCTTGCTTACTCCCGAGATGAGAGTGGACTCTGTCGGTCTCTACTCTCTATAGATCTGTACACAATTATACATTTCTACTTTATTCTCACTTTCTTAAAATCGAATCCAAGTAAATGCGAGAACTATTTTATGGGACATAAGGAGTACTCCTTAATAACAAGGGTGTTAAGTCTTATTTGTGAGTATTTTAATGGGGTTTAGAAATCTGTCAGAATTCACGTGTCTTCGATTTAGATTTCCGTGAAATTAATGAAAAAATAAGGGTGTCCTCAAACATTACATGGATCAGGGGCGGAGCCAGGACAACCAAGAAGGCTGGGTCGGATTGCAACTAAACTTCAAGACAGAATTTTTAAGTAATAATTATAGGAATCAAATTCATCAAAGTTTATCACAAAAGTTGCTACTCCAAAAACCATAATAAATTATGTTTACAAAATTAACTGGACTCGGCGATCCTTTACTTTAGCAAACTCATCGATAAGAGAATCTATATCTATTGTACTAACAAGTTCTCTTTCAATAAAAATGGTCAAATTATCACCGAGAAATTCATCAGCCATCTTGTTTCGAATTGCATTCTTGACATGCTTCATTGCCGAAAATGCTCTCTCAGTTGTGGCAGTAGAGACTGGTAATGTTAATACAAGACTTATCAATCTTGTAATGAGTTTAAAGTCATCAGTCTTTCTTGTTTTCACCAGCATTTCACATAACTTTGCTAGAGTGGGAACTTGAAATCGGGAATCTTTGACCACATGAGCATGATAAAACGTCAACTCGCTCATTAAAGCATTTCTTTCGTGTGGCTCAAAGTCGTCAGGATAAAACTCCACAGCAAGCTTGTATATATGATCGGCGTTACACGATTCGAAAGAATTCCCCGGGTCCAATGCCACACTAAGTTGCAGAAGTCTAACTGATGTCTCATTAAATTAAACCTTGAATTCAACTCTGCAACTTGGAAATCGATGGACTGGATGAAGTACTCAAAACGGTAATAATGCTGAACATCTATCTCATTTCTTCCGCGACGCATTTTGCTCTTTATGTCAGGTATAGCAATTTTATGTTTGAAGCAAAAATCTTCTACTTGATTAAACATATCCTCCCATCCTTTATCTCTCAAATCCTGAAGAAGAGCTTTGCCAGTCGAAACATATCCAAGCGCAGATAAAATGTCAACAGATTGCTTTTGAAATGCTTGACAAATAAAATCAGTTATCCCCATGATGGCCTTCATTAGATGCAAACCAAATACAAAATTAAAAGTTTGAATACTTGAGCACGCTCCCTCTGCTTCAGTCCCAGCCTTTGCATTTGACCCATCACAAGCAATATTTTCAAGCACCTTACAAGTTGCATTATACAATTCAAGCATACTTAGAACAGAATCATAATGGGAGCCCCAACGAGTTGTACCTAAACGTTTTAAAGTTGACATTTGATTGGCCCCTCTTCCCGATTGACGCTCCCCACTTTCTAACAAAGCGTCAATTTCTAATCGATGCTCAACTTGAAGTTCAGTATTGCGCTTGGCAGAATACTTCACAATATTAATGACTTTGTCCAAAATAGAGAAGAATTTCCAAATAGGATCACATTGTTTTGCCGCAGCCACCAAAGTTAATTGCGACTTATGGGCAAAACAATGTACATAATATGCAAATGGACATTCATTAATAAACAATGCTTGCAAACCATTCCATTGCCCACGCATGTTGCTAGCACCATCATACCCTTGGCCTCGGAATTTGTGAACTTGAAGATTAAAATGAGACAGGATGTTGATGATCTCATGCTTAAGTGTTTCAAAAGAAGTCTCTGAAACGCCTTTAATAGCAAAAAAAACGCTCAGTTAAAATACCTTCAGCGCTCACAAATCTAAGGATAATTGCCATTTGCTCTCGGTCCGACTCATCTTTTGCTTCATCAACAAGGATAGAAAAGCAAGAATCACCAATTTCCTCACGGATCAAGCAACGAACTCTGTTAGTCATGAGGGCTAAAATTTCTTTTTGGATGTCCGAGGAAGTGTATTTTGCATTTTTGGAGCATTACTCAATACAACAGCTTTCACATCAGCATTCCACTTCGCCGTGTAATTTATCATTTCAATCACATTCCCACGGTTATAAGACTTTTCAGACTCATCGTGACACATGAAAACACAACCTTGCAATGCTAGCCACTGAACAGTCATGATTGTTGTCTTTAATCGTAGTCGATTTTTTAAAACTTCTTCTTTGCCAATCCTCTCAGTGACTTTCTCAATATGTTGAGATGGTCTCATCAAATAATCAGTACCTGTCACACACTTATTATGCGGAGATTGAGAAGATGTACCAATATGAACAAGAAATACACATTCCTTACCCTGATGGACTCTCTTCCAATCATCATATCCGGTGCTTACTAATGCAGAAGTGCGAGATGAATGCACATTATCACAAAAAAGAAAGCATGGAAAACAATATGCCTTGTGCGTATTCGGAGAGTACTCTAACCAATTAAACTCATTAAACCAACTTGATTGAAAGTGACAAATTTTGTCTTTATATTCTCGACCCTTGTACTTCTGAAGTTTAGGTTGATAAGGGCCAGATAGCAAATATAATCGTCTCACTTCATCTCTTCTGTCTAAAGGCCAATCAGACATTTTTTCCTTTTCCCTGGATCTCTTTCAATCTCAACCGGAGTAAACTCATTTCGAATTACCGGAGTACTCGGAACCGGAATTAATGGAGTAATCTCAACCGGAGTAGAAGACTGATTTTCAACATTAGAAATATTTGGATGCTCGCTTGTACATTCGCTTTGTACACTACTAGCGGAAGTAACAGGTCTATAGAAAGAACGCAAAGTGCCTTTGGTTTTCTTCGAAGGAGGCTGTTGAGTAGCCATACTTTTTTTCTACAATCCAAATATTTTATAAACACATTTAAAAAAACATTAATGTCTACGACATATTACATATAATAATATACACATACACATAATCACATTCACATTTTCTGTGTGTGCCTAAAGTAGTATTTCTTAGATGGATGATTTTCTATAGACCTATAAATGTTGTTTGGCATAATGAGCTCAAACCAGAAAAACAAAGAAAAATAGTTCCATGTTAAATGCTTGTTAATACACATTATATTTTAGACCCATTGTTGACTGTATGATTTTTATTGTTAATTCCATTCATTAGAGCAAAATCACCATAATATATTTTTCACTAAATCACCAATTCACCTAAAATCACAAATTCACATTAATTTATAATTAATGTAAATACACTGAAAAAATGCAAAATCACAAATTCACAATACACTCAAGTCTCAAGAGTCAAGACACGAAATACTACTTTCTGTTATTTAACAATTGCAAATTTTTAATTTTACACTAATTACTTATTATATGTTGACTACTCTTTATCTGTTAATGCATCAAATGTTCTTATTATAGGGAAAAATTCAAAACACGATTTTCTTTAATTTGTTAGGGTTAGCAAATTAAAGTTTCTATAATTTCTTCAAACAAAATATATTAAAAACTGAATATATAATTCATTTAACAGAGTTAGGGTTAGCAAATTAACCTCAATTTCTTGAGCAATAGCCAATCAGAGATTTCAGATTCAACTAATATTTGGGAGCTATATCCACCGCCGCCGGCCCACCGTCGTCCGACCTCCGTGCTCCGGCACCTGTCTGCAGCTAGCGGCTGACGGCTCTTGTCCGGACTCCGGTCTTCAGTCTTCACTTGGTGGCCTTGGTCAGTCGGCATGTTCGCACAATCGCACTATGTTTTTCAATTTTCTATTCTTGCTAAGTTGGTGTATTGTTTTACACGCATAAGGCTAGGCAGCCTGGGCTTATTACCATTATTTGGTCATTGGGATTTGGGAGTACACTGGGCCAATTTCATTTTTACACTTGGCCGGTTCTATTTTTTTATATATACTATACCTAGTATTAGGCAGCCCTACCCTGGGCCAGGGCCCAGTATGGCCCCACCACCTCCGCCAATGACATGGATGCCTATTACGACTTATTTGAATATATTTTAATGGATTTCTATATACAAAAGCATTCCACCACAAATCTTGTAGAATTCCTCGAATTTCAAAATCCATTGATCTTTTAAAATCCATTCAACTCCTAGTTAGAGACACCCCCTAAACCTCCTTGGGCTCCTGCCTTCCTCAGGCGGCTAGTCATCACGATAAAATTAGAGGAGGAACAAGAGTTTTTTCCTAAATGAATTAATGTGAATTAAACAAAGAATTAAGAAAATAAGATTGGGTTAAAAGTAATTCACAAAATACTATTGAAACCTATTAAACAAAGTCGTCGCTTGAAGTGGTTAAACATTGTCGTGAAGGCAGCTTAGCAATTAGCAATCCAAATGCCCAAATTAATGATGGGTCCCTCAAATTATAAAAATCACTTTTTCCTTAAAATAGCTATAACTTTTTCATTTTTAATCTATTTTTGTATAAAACATATATCAAAGCTTTATGTTCTTCTATTTTTGAATCAGGTATTATTTCTAAGGAATTAAATGTAACTAATATTTTGATAATACCCAAGAAGATTAAACCATATAATATGGAGGATTGGAGACCCTGTAGCTCTTTGCAATGTTGTGTATAACAAAATCAAAAGTCTTGTCCTATCGGTTAAAAGGAATTTTATATTCCCTAGTGGGTGAAAATCAAGGTGCCTCCATTTCAGGGAGATTTATTGTAGATAATATAATAGTGGTATATGAAACTCAACATTTTCTTAAGAGAAAAAAATAACGGGAATGAAGGCTTTGTGGTTTAAAATTAGATATGAGTAAAGTCTATAATCGAGTTCAGTGGGCGGTTTTTGCGTAATATTCTCTTGTGTGTGAGCTTTCGTGGCATATGGGACCAATATCTATTAAATATTATTATGGCTTGTGTGTTCACGGTCAGCTGTTATATTCAGTTTGACAAAGATCTACCTTAGGACCAATATCTCATAGCAGGGGCTCAAGACAAGGATATTCCCTCTCACCTTATTTATTTATCCTTGTGGGT